TTTAATATTCGGTCGCATGTAAGTATTACTTTAAAAACAACATTAACATTATTGTATATGGCACAGACTTTTAATTTCAGTCCGCCTGCCCCTGGGCTTCCGGTTAACTGTCATCCCATACAAAATCAGCCCGTTTAAGATCTGATTTCTTAAAAAAATAAATGAACAAACAGTGATCTTCACTGCCTGGTTGATATACGATATAAAGTGGGTATCAGGCTAAACAAGAAGCACTAAATTAAATTATATTTTTTCGCGCCATGTCTATAAAAAGTGGAAATTTGTTTTACCTCAGTATTTTCAATGAATTTCTGCACTAGCTTGCCGCTAATGACGGCACTGGCATTTAAACCGTCTTTCGTCTTTTTTATGCTTTACCAACTAAATGGATGCTTAGTCTATTTAACTGATTTAAATTACAACATTAATGCTGTAAAAGGAACTGTATGAAATTGAAATATTCACTTAAAGCTTTCACCGGAAGATTATCGTTGGCTGAAAAACACTAGCTGTGCATATAGCCCATTGACTTTGAACAATCTAGTACTTTGATAATCATTGGCTGCTTATATGATTTCTATATTTAGAATTTGCAAAGAATACTTTTCTCAAATTATATTAGGAAGGTGAAAGTCCGAATGTAAACATATAAAACCAAATTTACCTCAATGCAACACAAAGCGACTTGCAAGTGAGCATAAAACAAGCAATATAAATCCAACATAGGCGCCTTCTGAAAACGTAGCCCTATATACTTTTTTGGAGATCGCGAATTATGTAGCCAGAAGTACGTATGGCTGCATTTCGTCTTTAAAATGAACACTACAGGGTGGTATGACGCTGTTCCTTTCCTCACTTAGCAGACGACCACTTACCTCTGTATGGACGGATTTTCCACTGTTACCAGTTTGTCCGGTAGCTAGACATTGGCGGACGTACGTTGGCGGTCTTGAGACGCAGAGACAGAATGGTTCCAGAAAGCAGGAAAAACAAAAGCTAAAAAATAAATTAAACAAGTAAGTAACAGGGTAAGAATGTGGTAAAATTTGAAAACATGCTAAATCTATTTTTTTTCTGGGTTTGCTTTCGGTTGGGTTTATGCAGGGGGGGGGGGGGGGATTCGGTCGATCGGTTGATCACAGTCAGTCCATGACTGTGCTTGGTTGTATACTATATTAATAAAGTGTTTAGACTTTTAAAAACACTGTTGTAACACATTGGGCCATTAAAAATGGTTCTTATGTTTTTTCTACAGGAAAGATGGGCAAATAACTTAAACACCTAAAATATAGTCTGTGTTAGTAAATGCAAGGCTTTTGACGAAATCCAAGAATAACACTGTATGACAACATTTCAGATGACTGTTCTAGAGCCTACAGCTAATCAATCTGCCAGATTCTGGATTGCTTTACAGGTCTAAACAAAAACATAAATGATAAATTGTCTTAGGTAAAACAAATACATTTATAGAGATGCTATACAAGTATATAATTTCACTCACCTGGAAAATGAAGGCAACTTGAATGGTTTGTGAGCTCAATTAAGTGCACACAGCACGCCATATCATCTGATAATTGTAGGAAATAATCCCAAAAGGCAATTGACTGTGTAAAGCCACATAAAACAAAACAAAACAAAAGATGATGAATGTGCAGAGTTCAGTGGCTAATCAGTCAGATTCAGCTGAGGTGACAAGACAGCGAGCAGTGAGAACTAGCTGTCACTCAAGTGGTCACACCTTTAATTATGCAGACTTAATAAAACTTAATAAAAACAGAACAGATGAGTTATAAAAAATTCACCCCCTTCACAGTTGTCATGAAGGGTAATATTAGCTATATACACCAAAACTATCTTTTGTACCAGGCTGTTAACATGTTTTTATCAGCTGTAAAATTAGGCAATTTACCATTGCAGCCAGAAAACATCTGGATTTCCTGGAGCCAGCCCCCAAAGTTGAGTTGATGAATTTAATAGTGCATTTATGAGAAAAGAGCAGGCGTGAATGGCACTCATGAGAGAAATTTAGGTCTCAAAAAGCATACACAGCGGCTTCTGGTGGATTCACGAAAACAAAAACTGCAACAAAACATACATCCTGGGACGCATTTGGTGGTCTCCGGAAATGTATATAGGGGTACGTTTTCAGAATGAGCCTCGGTTGAATTTTGCATTCTTGCAACCCAGTTGAAACTCTTTCATGACCTGGTACCAGTGATTAGAATCCCTAAACAGAATTAAAATTAGTAAGTTTGGAGGCTGGCGAAAATCATTAGCACTTAAATGCCAAGACAATGGGCTATATGCACAGCTAGGGGTTTTTTCCCCATCGATATACTTCCGGTGAAAGGGTAATATGACTATTCTTAATTTCATAAGGTTCATTTTACAGTATCGATGTTATAATGTAATTAAAATAAAATCACTTATATAGACTTAAGCATTTATTTAGTTATTCAAGTGTAAAACGAGTGAAAAGTCGTTTAAACACAAGCGCAGTCACGACCAGCAAGCGAGTGCAAAAAATACTGTGGTGAAAAAAAATTCTATATTTTAAAGGCATGGCGTGGGACAATGGAAGTTAGTGCAGTGCTTCTTGTACATTTTGAGACCCACTTTCTATTGCATGAAAAGCAGGCAGTGAAGATCATTGATTTTTAAGAAAACAGACCTTAAACGTGGCGAAACTGTTTACCAACTGTTGACCAAAAGTACTTGAACTGGGTTGCTAAAATTTAACAGTCCTTCTGCATATACCCTATAAAAAAACTTGCTTGTCATGTTTATTTACTTTTCTAATTGTAATTAAATCACCCCCTAATCATTGTATATTATATTTTAAATCATTTTTTTTTATGTTAGCTAATCAACAACCCTTAGAAGTGTTTAAGCATGTTAAACATTACTTTACATTGGTCCGTGTCCAGAAGCTGTATTGCACCCTCTCATTATATATTCAGAAAATGAGTTTAAAAAGCTCTATTTTTATATTTATATTTTCTAGAAACTCAAAGCACTTTACACATTGGGGGAAATCATCCAGAGTGCAGCATCCATCTGGATGATGCGACGGCAGCCATATTGCGCCAGACCGCACGCCACTCACCAGCTGATTGGTGGAGAGGAAACAGAGTGATTAAGCCAGTTATTATATGGTAATGGTTAGGAGGCCATGATAGGTAGAGGCCAGTGAGCAAATTTGGCCAGGATGCCGGGGTTAAACCCCTACTCTTTTTCGAAGGACATCCTGAGATTTTTAACGACCACAGAGAGTCAGAACCTCGGATTAATGTCTCATCCGAAAGATGGCCCTCACTAAGCACTATAGAGTCCCCTTCACTATATTGGGGCATTAGGACCCACACAGTTGGATGAGCACCCCCTGCTGGCCTCACTTACACCACATGGTATAAATGTTATAGAAATGTTAACTTCACCATTCCACATCAAATGTACCTTATGTATGGTGAGTATACAGTATACTGTTGTTGATGCCTCAATTTCTGCAGCAACATTTAGATTATAGGGTCAGAATTTGGTGGATTCATTTAGCCGTGTATCAACGGTTTATGCTGCTACAGGTGTAATGGTGTATATGACATTTCTTGACACACTCCTAAGTATTGTTTAAAGGTCCCATAAAATTTAAATGACTAAATGTAAATAAAAAAATTAGATGTCAGTTTCAGTCTGTTAGTCTCAAGGATATCAATTAGCTATTGTGCTTCCTGCAAAGAGAAAATTCTGCCTAAATCAATAACGATTTTTGAAATCTTCTGACCAATCAAATGCTCTCAAGTACCTGACATATCCCGCCCCCATCAAAACGCATCTCATTTATTTTTCATTTAATGCGCCTGAGCTCAATCACACTGACTGGAAGAGCTGTGATTAAAGCAAAATGCTATTGGTTGATTTTAAACAGGGGAGGAGCTACTCTAGATCCAAACAACTTAATTTTTCAGTTAAGATCATGTCAAACATGGAATAAAAAAATGCACGCTTCAAAGCACTTTACGGCACCTTTTAATACCACAGCTGACCTGAGTATTGATGCTGATCATGTCCATTCACAGAGGACACATACAAAACTCCAAAAAATCTACAAGCTGAAAGCATCTGAAACTGGTTTCTTGAACAGTTGAGTTCACTTTACTCAAACAACCTTCACGGTCAGCGGATGTCAATCCAGCAGAGCACCTTTGGGATGTTGTTGGAACAGGAGATTCACATCATCCGTGTTCATTCGACAAATCTGAAGAAACTGTGATGCTGTCATGTCAACATAGACAAAGATCTCTGAGGAATGTCTCCAGAACCTTGCTGAAACGATGATGCAATGGATTAAAAGAATATTCATTCATTCATTTTCCTTCAGTTTAGTCCATTATTTCTCAGGGATCACCACAGCAGAATGAACTGCCAACTATTCCAGCATGTTTTATGCAGTGGATGCCCTTCCAGCCACAAACCAGTAAAGACAGTCTTTGGACTGTGAGGGAAACCGGAGCACCCGGAAGAACCCCGTGCGAACACAGGGAGAACATATAAACCCCACACAGAAATGCCAACTGGACTAGCCGTGACTCAAACCAACAACCTTCTAGCTGTGAGGAGAAAGTGCTAAGAGCCACTGTGCTGCCGGATTAAAAGAACACTGTTAACAATTTCATGTAGAATATACAGTACGTGGTGCAAAATGTGAAAATGATAGCTGTGCCGGTCTGAAAATAGCAAAAAATACACCCTGGCATTTGAAAGGGCCCTCAGTGTTTAGATGAATGGAAAATGCAGGGGGTTGGATAAACGACTAGATTTTCACTTAGAGGTGAACCATCCCTTTAAATCAGCCATTCTCCATGTCCGCTAGTGTTTTTTCTTCTTCTGCAGTTGCCTGCTGTCTTCATGCGAGCTGCAAAAGTCATTATATTCCCCTCGGATCATCCTTTCCTCCACCCACCGCCCAGCACAACCTTTGCACCATTTACACACACTGATGATCCCAGGATTTCCCTTTTATTTTTCATCTTATCCGTATCTCTTTATGTCATCCATACATTCATTCTGATTGTGTAATCACTGCAGTATTTCTAATCCTCCACATGCTGGTCTGAAACTGGTGGTCTTGTAATGCCAAACGCAGTGAAAGCAGCAGTTTGGTGTGTTTTCGTGGGCAGTGAGGATGTTGGCGCTGGGTTTATCTGGCAGTTTTCTCTGAGGGGCGAGTGGTGTGTTCGTGGATTGGCGTTGCTCATAGACTCGTCTACTGTGGTTTTCGTCTCTCGGAGTGACTTTAGCCTCAGGGAACACAGAAAACACAACAGCTCCTTATTAGCAGGAACTGCACTGGTCTGGAGGGATTTGGAATCATGTTTGCATTCCATTTAGCCTGTATTATAACAAACATTAAAATAAATGTTAATACAAAATAAAAATAGATTAAATGTATATTTTATTTACCTGTTTATGGTGTGTGTGAGTGTGTGTGTGACTGTGTACATACACACACACACATTCTCATTTATACTAATTTAACAATGTTGTGTAATATTTTATGTTTATTTATAGACAGTATGGATCTAAATAACTATTGGAAATCACTAAAATCATCCAGAATTCCTAATATATACATATATATATATATATATATATATATATATATATACTGTATTAGGGATGTCCCGATCCGATATTGGTTGAGTAATACACAAGGCGTTATGAGTGCTGTTACTGGCAGAATATCACACGACTATTTACCAATCAGATTCAAGAACCAGACAGAACTGTTGTGTATATATTTATGTAATAATAGGGGATTACGGGAGTTGTCCAGAAGAAATAAAAAACGGGATGGTTGCGGGAGATTGGTCTGAAATACGGGATACTCCCATGGAAAAACGGGAGTGTTGGCAGGTGTGCTTACCAGTTTAATAATGATTTGATCTGCTGTAGTAAGAAATTAGACTGTTATTATCTTCTAAGCATAAGGGCTTATTATGCGGTTCTGTCGCCATCTTGTGTATAGAAAGCATCAACTGTCTTTGGTCTACTACACTATGGCAGGCTAATGGCCGCCAACCAGCTCTCTCAGAAATTGTAAATATTTTAGGGACTATTCTTACAAATAAACTGCAAAGTTGCAATCTAAACAACTACATTCTTTACTAAAAAAGTCTCAAAAGTACATTTTGTTGTCTTACAGCAGTAATATTTGTCAAACTGTAGTGTCTCTCTGCTTGTTGCTGGCTTTATGTGGGCGGAATAATACACAAAGGTGAAGCGTGAAGAGGCCTTTGTGTGATGTTACTGGCAAAATATTACACGGCTATCAGCCAATCCGATATATATATATATATATATATATATATATATATATATATATATATATATATATATATATATATATATATATATATATATATATATATATATATATATATATATATATATATATATATATATATATATGCAACACTCTCAGAAAAAAAGGTACAATGAGGGTACAATTTTGTTCCTAGAGGGAACAAAATATAAAATTGTACCTTTAAAGGTCCCATATTGGTCTTTAGGGTACAATTTTGTACCCAAATGGGCTATAAAGGTACAAATGCCCAGATTTAGGTTGAAAGGTACATTT